GTATATGTACTTCCTGCCACAGTAGATATCTTAGGTTTTTAAGGGCAAAACTATCAGCCCGCAATGGGAATCTCTGCGATAAAGGTGTCTGAAGAGGTTCTGCTGAACAGAAACGAAGTGATTACAATACAACTGACAGTTTGGCTTGTACTATGTACCGCATATGACTAGAAGGCAGCTGGACATCGTCTGCCTTTCTTATCGTTCCTTCGGCGTCAGTCTGGCAAATCGGGATATACTGCCGTGAATTCGCTGACCCAAGGAAAAAAATTGTAATAGAGAAGCTTTAGCCACTATAAACTCAACTAATTTCGAAATAATCATAGTTTGAGGGGAAGCTAATAAATGTCGATTAGGAGTCTTCAGAGAATGAGTACGACAGGATCAAGCTCTATGGCGTCCACGATCTCATCGGCCAGTTCGGAAAAGACCACTCCTAAAGGTGGTTTCCAGGTGAAGCTTTCCTAAAGTAGCGGTAGGAATATACTTATTTTACCCTTTTAGGAGCTTCAAACAGTTAAGAAGAAGGTTACGGCACCAAATGTAAGGATTTTTTTATTAGAAGGATAATGTTTGAGTAAAATTTCGTAGAGCTCACGCCTGCTTATTTGTGTGATCGTAGGCCACGCCCTTTTGCTGCGCCATTGTTCAAATGGCGTTTTGTTGAAATAATATTTTAATACCTCATCCGATGAAAGAAAAAAATTGAATTGCAGAGCAAAAATTTTTCCCATTAACTCACTCGGCCTTTTATTTCTAGAAAGGACCACAAAGTGAGAATGTGAATATCGACGAGCTCATGAAAGCTTTGAAAGTTGTGAGGAAAGCAAAAGAACGTAACGTTAGTACTAAATCTGAAAAACCACAAGGCGAAAACTGGTCCCTAAAACTCTTTGCTCGGCTCAGACATAAGAAATGATGTAGCTGCTCAGCATGGAGGCAGGGAAGGGAAAACTAAGCAATTTTTTGCGTTTTGATTGAGTCAGAACATTCTGGAGACCATTTCTCGCCATTTTTTGTTTTTAAGCCGTTGGATTTTTTTTTATTCTAGATTGATCTCACAACATCGATGGAATCTTTAGCGATGCGTAGTTTGAAAACTCGCCATAAACGTCGTCAACGGCATGGGGCATCTACTTGGCAACGAGTTCGCTCCCAACTCTATGTAATGATATGGAT